CTACCACGACAAACACAGAGACCTTCAAGAAGAAAGAAAAAAAGAATAGCTAAACCAAGACAAAATGACTTTTCATGCTTACTTGATAGAATGTGAGAATCAAGCACGTGTAAACCAACAGAACAAGACCACAATGCCGTTCCATTTCAACTGTATTTGTGATTGAGAAGCCGTATATCGTCATCGCTGCTATCGGGGAAGTTCACTTCGAAAGCCACAAAAGGAATGCGGATTTATATCGCTTCTAAGCTTACTGACCAAACAAATGACCGGCTTCTCCAGAAAATGAAACTGCTATTGGTTTGATGAAAACATCCCAAAATTATCGTCGAATAATAAAAAAAAAAGTGATCCTCGCATCAGGCACATATAGTCCATCTATCTTGCTCGCATAGAAAAATCTCTTTCTGCCGAGCGTATCTAAGCAACCAAACCACTCTGCGCTATATAAAAAATAAAACAGAAGCTTTGTAAAGGTAAAACTTTATAGGAGCGGGGGGGGGGTCTAAGACTCGATTATATAATTTCTTATACAATATTATGTGTGATAATATTTGATAGATAATATAAATATTGCTTATTTCCCTTTATCACGAAGGCGTGATCTAAATGCTGAGGGCAGAAACTGGTTTCATTTGTATAATTAAGCAATTTAATTATAAAAGCCATCAACAAAACAATCACTTATTTATAATGGTCAGAGATTTTATATGAATGACAAAATTTTTTTTCTTCAAATTGATATTTAAAACTGAGCATGTAAATATATTAATGACTTTTATTAATTAAATATATTAATTACCTTTATTAAACAAGAACCGTTAAGTTGGCCAAGATATAAGACACAACATTGTTGAGATGATTTATAAAACCATATTCATTGGACGGCTGAGGATTTGTATACATGCCGAGACACAAACTTTCTATGGCTATTTTCAGTCTGAACCTATATGCAATAACTTTGTGCTTATTCACACACACACACATACACACACACATATATATATATATATATATATATATATATATATATATATATATATATATATACAGGGTGATTGAAAAGTAACTCCTCATTTTAAAATACTTATAATTTATTTATTAATTATAATTTTTACAAGAAATGGATATGAGAGGAGAGTGTTTAGCATGAGGTTTTATTTAAAATTTGATATGAGCACCAGATTTTGCTACCAGCTTCATCAGCCTCCCAGGAATAGCATGAACTAATTTCACCAGGAACTCTTATGGTATGGAAGACATAACTTCTTGTATTTACCCTTCAAGTTTTTCCAAAATCTTGGTTTGGTATAGAAGACTTGCTCCTTTAACCGCAAAGAAAAAAAAATCACAGGGTGTTAAGTCAGGACTGCTGGCTTGCCACTCATAGATAAGACAGGGTGTTACTTTTCAATCACCCTATATATATATATATATATATATATATATATATATAGTCGTCCACAGACAGACTCGCTGTATCACAGCTCATCAGTGTGGCTAGACGTCCAGTTGCCTCTAGCTAGGATCGAAACCCGGCTAAATTGGCGTCAGTCGGAGATTTCACCCCTAAGCTAGCGCGCGGCAGGGAAGAAGGTTAATTTTAAGTGTATTTATTTTTAAATAAACACACAGTGACCGAGAGGACTCGATTCGCTTTACACACACACACACACACACACATAAAATAATTGTCGGACTGAGTCCATTTCATAATATATATATATATATATATATATATATATATATATATATATATATATCATAAATGTATAAAAGATTCAATAGATCTATAAAAATTCAGCTGACTTATCTTAAAAGACCGACTCCAGAGCTTCATACCCAGATGAAGTATAAATCCAATGAAATCGTTAGCAGATCTCAGATTTAATAACACATCGGAACAAAGGCTATTTTTTATCACGTTAAAAGTTTCGTTTAAAACGTAGCAACATTTAGATTTAGAACCAGTTAAAACGTACTTTTTATGATTATATTTTATATCAACATATATATGTTTACATACTAATTTATACATATATTTACACACACGCACACACACACATACGCACACACATACGCACACACATATATATATAATTTGTCACTTAGCTGATTGAGGTTATATTCAGCACCCCGACTTCAGAGTTTCATAGACGAAGTTTTTTGCAGGCTGTGTGTGTGTGTGTGTGTGTGTGTGTGTGTGTGTGTGTGTTGCCTTGGAAACAGCCTTTCAAAAACGATTAAATCACCGAGTCCAAAATGGCCAACGACATCATTTCTATTATCGTAGAAGAAATCTTTTGTAAATTCATTTTAAATATAGCAGCAGTAACTGGAGTCACGTAAATTAAATTCATACAGGGATTTTGTAAATGAATGTTGACCTTTACTTGAGGCAAATAATTTATTCATGCATAATCATCTTATTAGCCTGAAAAGTTTGCAAGAACGTCTGGTTGTAAATTCTTTAGATAAGTATAACACGTTTTTTAATTCTCCATACAAAAATCTCATTTTATTATGCGAAGTACTACACTAAGTTTTTTTTTTTTTAAGTTGAAGAGATCGATCCATATTGTAATTTTTCAAGTTAACCATCGTTTCCCGTGTCTCACTGATCAGTACATACATCTCTCGAAGTCACTCAACTAGGAAATAAAGAAACTGTTTTTATCTCAGTTTTTATTTATTTATTTTGCTTTCTCTGTGAAAGACATTTCGCGACTCAATTTTCCCGAACTTTTGAGAACCTCATTACTTTTGACAGATCTAATTTGGACTCGGATTCTTTATCTATATCTCGTTCTGTGGCTTACAATTTATCTTTCTCTCTCTCTCTCTCTCTCTCTCTCTCTCTCTCTCTCTCTCTCTCTCTCTCTCTCTTCATATATATATATATATATATATATATATATATGCTTCTTAGGTTCATGACGATTTTGGAAGGCCAAGAGGATCGAATTTACAATAGCAATGGTTTGCCGAGACTAACCACTAGAGGAATCCGTCTCTCTCTCTCTCTCTCTCTCTCTCTCTCTCTCTCACACACACACACACTCCACAGACACACACACACTCACACAGACACACACACACACACACACACACTTTGGGGTTAGTTTTGGCTCTATGCCACAAACGACTTTCTTTCTGATATCAGTGTTTTAACAGTAGTTGGAATATGTGACACGACATTTAGAACACGCATTGGACTAGCGAATATATGAATAAAACTTCCTTTTTTCTCGGCTTAGTTTATCATTTTTCTTTTTCTTCTGTGAATGTCTTTATATTAAACAACTTCTCTTATTCTGTACTGGTTAACAATCTGCATGTTGGATTCCTTCTGGCGTTCGCTTTGTTTTTCTTTAAGACAAGGACGTATCTTCTCACCGGATTTATTTAACCGATACAGCGAAGCTATCATAAGACAGCTACACGTCCTACAAGGAATCATTATTAGCAGACACAATCTTAATATAAGATACCGGATGATACGTGTTGATGGCTGACACATAAAAAAAAACATCTATTTTAGATGTTGCTGCTGATGAAATTCTTCAAGTGATATGTTTTCTATTATTTGGAGAAGTTCTTTCTGATTCTGCAGCGCCAGTTTGCGAAAATCGATAACGGCAATCCTTCTCAAGAAAAGAAAAATATGCAAATTTAACAACTATTATGATATTGAAATTTTAAATTTATGCAAAATTTCAGAAGTGAAATTGGGAATATCTCCCGTGAGTATCAAATTCTCAAAGCTCTCTTTCCGCATATGTCCAAAATATTTCAACTCCCTCTTATTGATTGTAAGTATTAGTGACCTTTTTATTTGTTTCCATTGTCCTTAAAAATATCAATATTTAGCAAAACTGGCTAAAAATATTTCGACAAGACTCGCCAAAGACGGATATTACCATGATACATTGAAGGTGAGCATGCGCAGAATGAGCCAATAGCAGTTCCAGTTCTAACATTACCTGTGTCTGATGAGTAAACAAGACCCCAACCATTGCAGTGCATACAATCAACGATACTATTATTAGATCTTATAATCATGTAACGATATAACCGGATTTCATTATTACCTCTGTTATTCCAACTGACAGCATAATTTATGTAATTGAATAAGTGGAATATATAAAAAAAAATGAAATAAAGAGAGAAACGGCCAAACAAAATTAAAAAGAAAAAAAACAATAAGAAATACTAATCTGAATTTGGTATTGATCGAAATTCAACAACATCAATATTACCGACCTGGACTGTATTGTAGAGCGCGACCAATCACATTTGTTTGTTGATATGTATTTTTTACATGTCTTTGTTTCTTATGTCCATGCCATCAATAGAAGCAGCAGCAGCAGCAGCAATATCTCTTATATTGATAACAAGTGTAAAAACCATAATGACGACAACAATATCAATAACCGTGTCAGGTCGGGGAGCTAGGTGAAAAGGAGATCGCAGACAGAAGCCGGTGAACAACACCATTACATCATATTCATGTCGACCTGCATTGGACTTGATGATTATTGATTGGCTATGGACACAGAGAGATACATGTGCACGTAGACACGTGGTTGGTGTGAATAGGCAGTGTATGTATGACGAGGTTCAACAATAATAGAGAAGGTTTCGATTTCCCTAAAGTAGGTGTTCAGGAGCGAAGTAGCGGATGCGGTGGCGAACGAGAAGCGCGCAAAAAAAAAGTCAAAAAGAGGTTGAGAGTAAAAGTAGAGAATAATGGGATAATAAAGGAAAGTAAAAAAAAACGTAGAAAGAAAGAAAGAAAGACGTGGCAGAGCAAGTCAGAGAAGAAAGAAAGAAAGAAAAACGTGGCAGAGCAAGTCAAAGAAAGAAAGAAAGAAAGAAAGAAAGAAAGAAAGAAAGAAAGAAAGAAAGAAAGAAAGTGGCAGAGCAAGTCAAAGAAAGAAAAAAAAGAAAGAAAGAAAGAAAGAAAGAAAGAAAGAAAGAAAGAAAAAGGCAGAAAGAAGTCAAAGAAAGAAAGAAAAAAGAAAGAAAGAAAGAAAGAAAGAAAGAACGTGGCAGAGCAAGTCAAAGAAAGAAAGAAAGAAAGAAAGAAAGAAAGACGTGGCAGAGCAAGTCAGAGAAGAAAGAAAGAAAGAAAGAAAGAAAGAAAGAAAGAAGTGGCAGAGCAAGTCAGAGAAGAAAGAAAGAAAGAAAGAAAGAAAGAAAGAAAGAAAGAAAGAAAGAAAGAAAGAAGTGGCAGAGCAAGTCGGAGAAGAAAGAAAGAAAGATATAGCAAGGCAGGTCAAAGAAGAAAGAAAGAAACTATTGAATGAAGAATTGACAAATATGAAATTGACAGAAAATATATGAAAAAAGAAGGTAATATTAAAGAAAGAAAGAAAGAAAGAAAGAAAGAAAGAAAGAAAGAAAGACAAACAGAAAAAAGAAGAAAATATTGAGTGAAGAATTGCTAGAAACAAAAAGAAAGATATGAGACGAAGAACTGATAAAGAAAGAAAGAAGTATCGATTGAAAAAAGGAAGAATGTTGAACGAAATACTGATGTAAAATAAAAGAAATGAATACTAAACGAATAACTGCTAAATAGTAAAAGAATGAAAGAATGATTGAATGAATAAATGAATGATAAAAGCTAAGAGAATATTGAATAAAGGGTTGATGAAAGAGAAAACACAAAACGAAGGTTTTAAAGAAAGAAAGAAAGAATAAAGAAAGAAGTGACTTAAGAATCAGTCTCTTGCAAACTGCTCCGAGAAAAGTTGTGTTAAATGAGGAAGAATTTTTCTCTTCAATCCAAAGAGGCATGTAAATCTTAGAAGATAATAAATGCATTTTCTCGGCGGTGTTGGAACCATGCAATCAGAAATGGGATAAATAAACAAAAGGATTTCTAAATGTCAAAAGATGGAAAAACGATAGTCAGATTGAGTGAAAAAAGAAAAGAAACTGCTTTCGAATGTTGCGAAAATAAAATCCAAATGATATACACATGACACATGGAAGTCCTTCCAGCTATCCGACACCGAATAGCTCCATAATCATTTAGAAATTAGAGATTTCTATCTATTTGTTAAGCATCGACCTCCAAATGGTTGACTAGTGTTGTTAATACTTCAGATCGTCTTATGAGAGGGTGCTGAAAAGTTCACAATTTGACACAGTTTCCATGATCTCACACTTATTTTATCAATGTCGCCAAAAAGATTGATTCTGTAAAGTATCAACTTGAAGAATCCTTGCACTTAATGTTGTATTTGTTTTAATTTTTTAACTAAAGAATTTTAAGAGAAAGTGTGAAATTTTCAAGAGAACTTCGGGTCCTCATGAACTTCCTGATCCTGCAGAAGAAAACTTCAAAATGAATCCATGTATGCAGGATACACGTGTTCGTCTAAAAAGACTGTAAAGATTCGTCTGCTAACTTCTATTGCAAAAATTTTGAGACACAAGTTGCAGCAATGGCTATGGTTGACTTCAGAAATTCTTGATCATATTCATGAGCTAATTTGCATATGAAATCATTTCACCACAAGCTGAGCAAAAAAAGCAACAAGATGAAAGTGGTTACTGAGAGCGAAAGAAATACAGACGACAATAAAAACAGAATTCAAGGAGAAAGATGACGACTGACATTGCATTTAAATCTTTCATGGTCGTAGTTGACAAAAGAGCAAGAAACTGGCAGATTCTCTACAATTTCCTATCCTTTGTAATTCTAAGCAATGTTTGTTTTTTACTATCCCTCCCATTCCCTGTTTTGTCATCCATTTACACAAGCTCATTAGATAGGTTAATCATTGTTTACTTTTGCCTACTTTCAAAATTTTGACTTTAACTTAGACTCGAATACTTACACTTATCACTGATAAGAAATAAAGAAATTTAGTGCCAATAGCTCAGAACTCTGCAATCATCATCAGACATTTGCTACATCCACAGGGTTGAATCATCCTCATTCCCCACATATTTTATTGATAAGAAGGAAAGTTTTTTTTTTCTAATGAACCGCTACTTTGTGGAACAGACTCCTTCGTGGTTGCTTTCGTGAACATTGCAATCGTAACGTCCTCAAGTCTAGAGTTATTCGTTATATAGCCTCTATATACTTATACTTTTCACTTCCTACCCTTCATATTACGTAACTCATTCAGTAACTCTCTACTTTGCTTTTCTCTTGAGTGAACTTTAGTAATAAAAAATGTCGTTACAGTTATAAACAACCTTAATATGGTCCAATAATTATTTTTTTTTGTTTTTTTTTTTAATGTAAATAGTTAATAAACAAACTATAGCTTTCCAGACTTTTATTTCATGTGCTGTGTGCCTCCAGGACGAAGGCGATCATGACTCTTTACAATTTCTTATCCTTTGTAGCTCTTAGCTATAGTTTTCTGTCATTTTACTATACTTCCTACCCATTGTTCTGTTATCCATTTACACAAACCTGTTAAGTGTAAAACTCCACGTTTCCCTCTGTTTCTCTTTCATTCAGTATGCCCTGTGAGTGTCGAATTCACCAAGCTTTCTTTTCTCATTGTTTGTGCTAGAAATTTCAACTATCTCTTCCTGAATCTACGTATGAGTAAACTTTTTGTTTCCATTTTTCTGAAACCTTCCTCGTTACTCGTGCCCTGTCCATGCCATTCTCAGCATTCTTCACAAAAATACATCTCTGTTGATTCAAGTCTCCTCGTCATTTGTGACGAAATTGACTGGCATTCACTACCATATGGGAGGATTGGTATTACATGCGCAGTTGCGCACATCTTTCTTCGTTTCTAACGAAATTTTCCTGTCTCTTAATACTTTGTTTAACTTTTGGAAGGCATTTTTCTCTATTCCAATGAACCTTCGGATTTAGTGTCTCACTTTCTGTTATCTGTGAAATAACATCCCAGTGATAGATTTGAAATATAAATTTTCGGCGACATATTAATTACATTTTGCGAACCAAACCAAATATATAATTTAAAATATACACCAAAAGAAATAAGTGAAGGAAAAATTTAGTTAATTTGAAAAGAATAAAAAGACTGTTAATTAATTTCACTGAAATGCCGCAACAAACCTGCTTGGAAAGTTCTGTTAAACGATAAATTTTATCTTTGATTTGTTTTCTGTTTATCTGTACTGTCTACACAAACGCACACATACGTGTGTGTGTGTGTGTGTGTGTGTGTGTGTGTGTGTGCGTGTGCGTGTGTGTGTGTGTGTGTGTGTTCAAAATGGAAACCCAAAACTTGTAAAAAGATTAAATTTAGCAATGTCTCCTTGGCACTTGGCACCTGTGTGGGGAAGAAACTCTTTTCAACACTTGAAAGCAAGAATATCGGGTTGCAGATGGGGGAACGGCAGTCCAATGAGTCGTTTGTACTGACCTTCATGACGATCTGGAATAATTATTTAAAACCAAAAATAGAGAGATTTTATTTTCAGCCATATTTACAGAATAAACGATTTACCAGATGACTAGAAGTTGTTTAAAATATGAAGAAACCCCGAAAAATGTTAGAAAGGTAAGCAAATAGACAGTTTTGAACCGCCCGAGACGTGGACGTCCAAATCAACAGAGATAGTTGTGAACAGATTTTGACAGACTGATATGAATGAAATAGATAAAGAGTATTTAATGGCAATTTACTGGATGTGAAAGTTCTTCAAAGTGACATTTATTCGTATTTAGAATTCTTTTCATTTGGGCAAAATTTAATGTAAAGTTGGGATTTGGAGAACCAAATAAAAGCCATCAGTGTTAATAAAAAAATAATTCTTTTTTTAAAAAGAATCAGTATTAGCTGATTTTGCATTATTACAATTTTCATTGTCGTAAGCGGCTTATTTTGTTTTATCAGAATGTCTACTATTGAAATTTAGTAGCTTTCAAGTTGCCAGTTTTTTTTATACTTGTTCATTTAGTATTCTGTAGACATGTTTTATGTATGATAATAACAAACTATCATAAAATACTACATACAAGTAGAATAAGAGTTGTCGACGCGGAAAGTGAAATCGGCGAGTCGTAGACAATTCCCAGTTAGTCGCTTGCATTCACCTTCACACACATTCTTGAGATGGGCACAAATCCATCATTTTTACTGCCCTTCATTAACTATAAATTAAATAGTAGAATAGACAGGCATCTCTAGTTTTGGATAGCTACCAGTCTAGGAGAATTCAGAATTGTGAAGTAAGAAACGGGAAACTACTTCACTGCTTTACCCGAATCAGATGGTCTTCGTTATTAACTCACAATAGAGGAATTCAACAAATCCTTGATATAGTGGAGTGGGGAGGCGATGGTTAATATCCCTCATGATGACGCCCCTGATATATTAGTTAATGGGATTCAATCAAGAAAGCTAGCATGTCGCATGTCGGGGATGACATGATAGTAAAAATCCATGGCTAGTCATTCATGCGTCACGTGGACTATGTGGGAAGGACCAGAGCCCTGAGGGAATACGTATAGCCTCATTTGGAACACCTCTTCTCCACAGAGTCAAACACACCTTGATATAGGCGGTGAGATTGCGGAAAGGCACATTGTGGTATGACATGGCTCTCGTTGAAACATCACAGATCAGTACATCTTCGGTGCACGTCTAGGCTCCCACGTCTGATTGGGGACTACGACACCATGAAATGCCCATTAGGGTTGTCGTTGATGATGTCCTTATCGAACTCGGCCGCACTTACGGTATTTGATCACTTCTTTCTCTTAGTATGTGGGTCGAACTTAGCCTTGAACAGGAAGGACCTGGCCATTTTCCAGAAACTAGCTATTTTTGAGTTACTATGGTTAGGACCAAGAACATTGCTTTTTTAAGATCAAGTTGACAAAAGGAAGCTGTCTGAAAACTGGAATGAGAATGTTAAAATTTGGCGCATGGTGCGTTAAGTCATTTTCAATTTATGGCCAACTTAATATGTTTTCCTCAAATACTTTTTAATGTGCTGAAAAGTTTTCTGTTCGACCAACGATTGATTTTTTAAAAATCGGCAATATTTAAGTCATTTTGTAAATTGTATTGTTTATAATTCTGCATGAGTAATATATGATTTTTATATCTCTACAATTAACTCCATTGTTGCATCGAAGAAAGAATTTGTTTTTTTAAATCATTGAAAGTAAAAATATTCAAAGGAAACCTCCATAAAACTAAATAAATATAAAACAAAGTATGTTTACCTTATAAATAATATATTTCGTTGTTATTGTAAAACGAAGCATGTTTAATTCTCGGCGCCGAGTAACGAAATGTTTCAAGCAGGAAAGATCAGTTTGTGGGATCGATATATATATATATATATATATATATATATATATATATATATATATATATACCACATTGAGTTTTATAAAATAGATAGCTAGATAGAAAGAGAGAGAGAGAAAGAGAGAGAGATTCTTACATCCTAATTCACAGAAGATTTATCAGGTTAAGACCA